AGTTTAGCAGGTAATGAGGCATGTACGAATGGCGGTACCCGACCAGTCCATCCGCGTATACAAATAAACTTTAGAATAGATAAATATTAACAATAACACACTCAAGCGTCTTTCCAACCATATATTATACAACAGCGATCCCATTTCCTTCGATATGATCTCTTCATTGTACTAAAAGAAAGCATCAGGTATTACAAATATTACGTTTTGGATTGAAAAGCGCTCGGTGTGACCAGTGCGAGAACACATGAAACTACCATCGCGGGTAAATATAAACATTAATCGCAACTAACTACACAGCCTCAGAACAGAATGATACGTAACATCTTAAGAATTAGGTCGTCAATAGTGTACTTCAGTACTTCTACCATCTATGTACGTCGTACCATAATTACAAAATGACAGTTATTTGGTCTTACACAGTGTATTCACAGTACGAATGACACGTGTATTCTAGAATTCACAGTACGAGATTTTTTTTTTCTTGGACATCCAAAGAAAACTCAAGTTGCAACGCATAGATACTAAATGCAAAATTTCACCTCCTATACAAACATTTAAATTTATCGTAGTATAAATATCTAATAGAAATTTTCTAAGCCTTGCTAACTATAACGACTCAGTGCAATTAAACAATCTTTCAATTTATTCCCAATACAAACAGCGTCAGCGTTAGCGTCGAAAAAGACATCTGATTTACTTAGCGCATTGTCATAGCCATGAGTTCTTATTATCTTTGAAACTATAAAAAATCGACATTAGCTTATATTGTAAAGTACAAAAGCAAATGAGCAGAGCATAACTTGGTTCCTATTGTATGTAACTACTTTTTACCACTTAAACTGTGCTGAATTTTGGGGCGACGCATAATCTTAAACATTACAAACACAGGTGCAAAGTTTTTTTTTACATTCACCACATCACTCTCTTTTGAATATTTGCACTGTTACGAGTAGTAACTAGAGTACAAATTTACTATCCATAATGTCCACATTCACACTGTGATGTCGCATTAATACTTTATGTTCTCCAAATTATCTGCACCACGCGCATCGCAACCAAGACGCGGCAGAGGTTATGCGGTCAGTACGAAAGAAAACTATATGGGTAGCTAGCACCCGTATTCATTAATCCATGTGGAACTAAATATATTTTTCTATACCATTTAATATAAAAGCTACAGGTACTAATTTCAAGTTATAATTGATTATACGAATTCGGGCGCCAACCTTAACATCATACAGCCATATAGTCACGAGTTCCCATTCTTCAAAACACGAAGGTGTAAAGGCTAACATACAAAATTTAAGTCTCTGTAACATATTGACGGTCATAAATCTTGACCATAAGAAATTATCTACTCTAAATTACATCAATATCTACTTACAACGCTAAATAATATAATTATTTAACGATTAGTTATTTTGGTCTGACCAACGAATAAAACAATTTAATGATATGAATACAGAGTATTTTAAAACGTAAGCTAGAATCGGCTTGGAATTTATTTAAAAAAAAAACTTTCAATTAATTTACTGAATCTACATAAAAGAATAAGCTACACTCTAAAAATCGTAAATTAATTTTAATAAACCTTAAAAGAATTCCCTAATAAACATTGGTAAAGAGTTTTCATTTAAGTTACCATTAAAGATAATGTGTCTCATAGAAACAATAAGAAATTATGGACATTCAAGCTGTAGTTCAAATAATTTTGATTTTTATTAAAAAAATTATATATCTGCTGTAGATAACTTCATCAATTGCTATTTGCAAGATCACTCGAACTCCACCTAATTAATTCGTTGCATGTAATATACATAAACAGCGCCGAATTAAAACACATGTTATATACGATAAATAGTTAGTGCAATTTATTCGTAACACTTACAGGAGTGACAATTTCACAACAACGATTAAAAAAGTTTGTCTACAAATTGATAAAACTCCACAAAAATACCTTATACAATTTGTAACAAAAAGCTATATATGAATGTTCCAAATACGAGTATGCATGTCCTCTTGAAAACTTCGCCAACAAACTGATTTTGTTTGTTTAAAGCTATATCTATTATAAACGGTATGATACATTTGAAGCTTTCGAACTGGTCACTACTTCGAAGCGAAACACTGAAGCAGATTAAGTGGTTTTTTGACGTATACCCGATGACTAGATTCGAACTTCGTGTGCCGTGTTGTCACTACCGATCTATATTCCCAACATTCTGTAGCTGCTACAAAAATTATTTTTGAAACATTCCTTACCTCATTCGAGTGTTGCAAGTAACAAAAAAAAAACAAATTATGGAGAAAATTTACATATTTATTATGCGTTCATTTAGAAACCATCCTAACGACACGACATATCCCAGCGTGACGGTCGGATCCCCAGCTTCCTAAACTTGTATATTATTAAATATATTAATATTTATAGCTTTAAATACACATATACACGTCAACGTTCAGAATTAAATTATTATTTACTTCGCTATCACTGAAAAGATACATTATATACTTGATAACAGATACAGGTCGTGCGCGACGTATGAACGCAAATAAGTTTAATAAATATAATTTACATACATAGAGAATTGACAGTCTATAGAATGTTGTATCTAATTACTACAATAATTAAATTAATAAAACTTTGTAACGATAACAATATTTAGCTCAATTCGTTTTAGGTTACGAAATTTTAGCACCGTAAAATACAGATTAATCAATCAATCTGTGAAAGTAAAAATATTTTTTTTATCCAAGGTACGAAACGGAGATAGAAAATCAAGACATATTGAACCTTCATAATTTTACACATACCTATATTTTTAATACCCATGATAAAGTAATAACCATCGACTGGCAACAAAAAATATTAATTGTCAATATGGCGTCCACACGACGCGCGCAACCACAAACAACAGCGCCTAAGAAAGAGATAACAATTTTTTTTAGGATAATACCCATAAACACATTTGTATGTGGTAGTTACAATTAGATAAATTATCAACTAGTAACTATATTATAACCGCTTGCGGAGACACATCGTAAATAAGTTATAGGGGTTGCCATTGCTCTATGTCTCAGCAAGCTTGAGTACTAGAGTAATTATTGTTCCGGAGGCGGGCGTTTACGGCCCGTGCGCACTCAAGCCAGTGTTGCCCGATGAAGTCTACATAGCTAAGTGAACTTGAAGCTAGATACTACCATTTCGGTAGATTTTATATTTCTCGACCATTACAAACGCACATTTGTAAGATTGGGTACGATTATCTTAATATCAAAAGCTCACAACTCTATCAAGAGCTGTTTGAAGAATATCATAAGATAATTTAGCATTACATACGACACAATTAGGTAGAATTTATAGGGATCAAGTGCAAAAATTTAGCATTTTATATCCACCAAAATTTAATTTCGAAGGCACAATCGAAAATATGTGCCCAAAATGATGACCCCTTTTTACATTTTTTTTATTTGTTTTTGAAATCGGTCTTTGTAGCCGATGTTTGCGACCTTCCTATCCTATTGTAATATCGATTTCTAAATATCGTTTTTTTTTTTTATTGTACATCAAATTACAACACTTCTTCATGAAAATCACAACAATATACACAGACAAAATGCACAATTTGCTGGTTTTAATCTAACACATAATATAATCAATTTTATGTGTAATTTTCTATACAGGGTTTACCTTAATATGTACAAAACAACTGAATACAACTAACGGTGAGTAAAACAACGTGTTACTAGCGCAACACACAAACATAATCGAGATTTAATAGTTTTCTTTCATTTTGTCTGTTATACTTCGAAAGATAATTAAATTAAAGAAAGAATTCTCACATCAAATAATAAAGTTGATTAGTTAAACTGAATACATAATATTGAAAAATGTTCTCTTAAATCATATTTGTGAATTCCGCTGCCTTAGAACTACTTATGGATAATCGTAAAGAGTAATTAATAAATAAAAATATTTAAAACGAATCATAACATCAAATAAGGCTACTTCGCACAATGTTGACAGTTCAAAAAATTAATTTATGGAATCATTTACTAACAACTATAATAACAACTATACATAACTCATCTTAGGATAAATCAAGCCGTAATTTTGTAACTCTGTATACGTACCATGTGACATCATCAAATGCTGCAAGGAATAGTTTGCAAAAAAAAACAGGACGAATTTTACAAAAAAGATGGCAACAATATTCATTTGATGATCTAAAATTAACACCTAATCGACGCTAAAAGCTAAATACTCAAACGTTACTCAATTTTTAAAATTTCGTTAAGTCTCGAGGTGTCACAGTCACTTTGACTTAAAGTGACAGAGACAGCACGAAACTTAATGGCGTCTTAAAATCGAGCAACATTTATGGTTATACATTTTTTTTTCACACAGTATTTCACTATATATAAATAATATAGATTTGACATATTCCTCTGAGCTTACACATAGTAGTATGTTCATTGGATGCCAATTATTTTCATGAAAATTCTTATGACTAGTCAATCATTGTCTTATTTCAACTTTGGTTTGTTACATGACAAACCGTAAGGCCAAATATACCGCAATATCAATATTCTTTTAAAAAGAAAACATTCAGACAGGCAAGCAATGGAATTTATGTACTTAGAATAAGCAGTTGTACCATAAACATATTTACATTTGTAATGTACTCCTCCTAATGTTTGCTATAAACATCAAATCAAAACTGAAAGCCGTGCCATCTGGTTTTACAACTCAGGATATTTTAACTAAGTATGATAACTTTCTTTGATTTTAAAACCCATTTCTATAAACTATGCTTTTAAAAGTCTGGCCACAGAAACAAGGTATTAAATAAATGGACGTTAAATTTTAACTAAAGACATTTTCTATAATAACACAATGATATTCAAGACAAATAATTTAAAATGCAAAGTGATGTATTGCAAGATGTCAGAATCTTCGTTCAATCGAACATTGCCTTTTTGGCATTTAAATAAGGTCACTTTTCCTGTCTCGATATCGCTAATGCCAGTTGCAATTCAGCATCTTCCCGTCTCCTTCTCTCTTCAGCCTCGGCTTCAAGTCGTTTAGACTCGGCGGCTGCCCAGGCCCACTGTTGCTCTTCCGATGGTAAAAACTCTACGCTTTTCGCCTCAGTGGGTGTTTTCGGCTTCTTTTCTTTATTTTGCCGCGTTCTTCCTATCCCACCTATAGTGTGAACGAGAGATCTTGCATATTTTACTGGCTTAGGCGACTTCTCTTTCTTGTTTGGAAGAGTATTCGATGGCCAGGTTTCGTTTAAGTTTTTATTACTATCTGTACCCCAATCCGTTGCCCAGTTTTCGGTTTTGTTCGCCCAGTTATCCGTTTTCCAATCGTTTGTTGAATCTTTTGTAGAGTTCGACGACCACGCATCGGATTTTTGGTTATTCGATTTGGTCCAAGCTTCATCTGAGGCCCAGTTATCGTTGGGCCAGGCCGCCCAAGCGTCGTTATTGTTCGTCTTCAAATCTGACCGCGCGGAAAACGGATCGTAAGCGACTGGTGGGGCAGAGACGCGACCGCTTCGTTTCTCCGGCAACGCGAAACTTCCGTTAACGGTTGACGAGGGAGAAAAGAAGTCGTCCGTTTCAAAACCGGCAACCGAAGTCGGTCTGGCGAAGGGATCGAGCTTTTTCGAATCGGTCACATCGGCGAATGGGTCCTCTATATTGAACGGGTCCTCGTATCTGTAGTCTTTGAAGGGGTCATCGGTGAATTCCATCGGTTTGGCGCGGTCGTTCTGGACGCAACAAAGTGTGTGAGTGAGTAGGCGTGTGTTTTGCTTTGTGTGTGTGGGAGAGAGAGGGGTGTACGCACGTGTGACCCGGCCGCCGCGTCCGCTTAGCGCTGCAATGTGGGGACAAGCACGAGCGTGGTTAGCACGTTAGTGGACAAGTGGATGCTCATGGCGAAGGGAACACTTTGTGACGGTATACGTAAGTAGGCAAAATTTCCTTTAACATATAACTATATTCGCTATTTCATATATAATTACAATAATAAAATATGCACATAGTAACGAGTTAATAGTGATATTTCTTATTTTAAATTAAATGTAAAAATAAATATTACTTTCTGCAGTTTACCACGAACTTAAAATCGGAAAACCGCATATAAGGGATATATAAAATATTTTAAATATTATTATCTATGTCACATAGTGTTCCACATACAGTACAGAAATATTTACATACAGATAAATAGTAGGTTATTTAAACGATTAATAAATAAATGAAATTATACAAATAATTTGGAAGAAAATGGGATGAGATATAATAAAAAGCCAACCAAATAACTAAGATGGGGGAAAAACAAATTTACGAATAATTCGAGATTATTTAGATATAGTATAGCAATGTTATTAGTATATAATTAGGCTATGTCTCATGCACTCTAATGTTACGTGTGAAATTGATCACACCATCCGTTCAAAAACCAATGTAGAGCAGATTCGCTTATGAGTAAAAAGCTGCCTAAAAACTGGCATTACCTACATAGTTCTCCCCCATAGATTGCCTCATAGGGGGCATTTGCCATAGTTGCTACGATTTGCAGGCGGGTTGGTATCTGGCAACCGCAGTTTTATATTTTCTAGTTGTCAAGACTGGTTTCATGGTTTGTTTTCCTCTTTTACGAATCCCATGGGTAGATATGCGTGTAGTAGATATTATTTGACGTTTCTCCACTTCGCCAGTCCAAGTATTTTATTTACGTATAGCGTATACCGTTATCTACAATAAGTATTAAGATTGTTTCTGGAATTTACCATGGTCATCTCTTACGACATCCACATGAATGACATCAACGTGATGAAATGAGAGACTAGTCTCTTATGTTACGGCTTTAATTTTATTTTATATAACTGAGGTGACAAACAAATTTACAGGCCACCTAATAGTTAGTGGCAACTGCAGTCAATAGACACCTGCAGCCAAATTCAAAGCAACGACACTTCTTCGTTAAAATTTGGCTGCAGGTGTCTATGGACTGCAGTAGCCACTAACAAACAGGTAAACTGTAAGTTCGTTAGTCGTTTTAGTTTTATATTAAATAAGAAAGCTAAAGATGCGTTGTTACCTATGAGAAATGAACTAAGTTCACACAGAATACCGGTATCTTATGGTGGGAGGAGAGAACCGGAGACTCGTTTTATTGAGGATGCATTCCATCTTAGTTGTCATAAGATGACAACGCATCTATATTTTGTCAAGTCTATCTTAATCAAGGAAATATATAATTGTCTATGAACCACAACATTCACTTACCATCTGGTGAACAGTGTGCTAATTGATTACTTTTACATATTTGAAAAAAAAAACTATACTTTATGTTATATATATCACATTGGCTTTTGAAACAGATGAAAATAAGCTGCTATAAAGTAATTAACTACTGAATTCTTAGAAAAGCTTATTGACATGATCAACATATCATTATATAATGGATACTAGTATATATCGTCAAGCTATAAAACCAACTAAAACCAAAGCTACCGTCACCACAAAGCACGCTAAGCGGAGCGACTGACACGTAAAGCAACGTGCGTATGTAAAGGACGTGCAAACTCGAGCAATTTGATTGTTTTCGATATTTTCCAAAGTACGCAAAAAAAACGGAATTAATAAACACACAATTTGACTCGAGTTAGCATTACAGCAAAATAAATTAAAAAAAAATTAACCGAAACGACGATGCACAGCGCACACGCACGCATTTTCAAAACAGACACACGCTTGTTAATAATTTTAAAAAATTGTATGTGCGTGTGTGAATGCAACTTCTGTTTCGAATAACATCTATCACGTGGTTTCAGAGAGTTATTTAAAATTACAACAGAAAAGCAAATGTTTAATCAAAAATTAAATATTTATAACAATTTAATATGCCCATTAATAATAATTTCTAATTTATTGATATTTGACTCTAAATAAATTGTTTCGTTGACCATTCTTTTTTATCATAATTAACTTGCAATGAGAGTACGGTCAGCAAAATAAAACTGCAGATTCAAAGGCTCTCAATCGACATGTAGTTATAATATGTATTAAAACTGTTTACCGATAACACATATTTACATTTCAGGAGTTCCTAGATCAGCAAATTTACTTGAGGTTTTAAAATTGGGGCATTTTATCAGAGCAATGTTTGTTGAAAAATATTTGTTCGACTACATTACGAAAACCACGTGATAACAAACCCACAATAAAAAAAAATAACGAGAATGGCATTCAGCGCAACAGAGAAAGTAAAATTATTGCATTTGAAAATAAAATTTATATTAAAGATCGTTTTCCAATTGGAATTTTTAAAAAGGACCTATTTAGGGTTAAGAAAATAAGGCAGTAGAAAATACCATAACTAAAGTATTGAAAGACGATCTTCGTCACTACTACTATCTTTGTTAGAAAATTCACACTATAAATATCTAAAAAGCAACTTAAAGACTGTAATGGAACAATCGATAACTATCAAGTATTAACGGCGTCGCAAACCGACGCCGCGAACCGCGGCTGCTACACTCTAGAATATACAAACGTATCGCAAATATTTCATCTCGCTCTATGTGTTTTATTTTATAGAGTAACGGTGACAAAAGAGCACACTGTACACCTAATCGTCCATCATTCGCGGTACGTTTTTATATTTTAAGACAGAAATACTGGAGATTCGCTACCGCGGTTAGCGGGGTCGGTGTGCCTAAAGACGTAAAAATTCTTAAGTGTTCAGTTTTGTTTTGTTCATAATTTAATAACTACGCAAAAGGTGGATCTCTAAATATGCTATCCATTACATTCTACAAGGCCAGCTAAAAAATGCCATTCTCTAAGAACGAAACAATCAGGGACATTGCCAGGGACATTTACCTACATTTTACTTTCTCTGCAGCGTTAAACAAAACAAAATAAAAATATCAATTTAGCTGGAAATCCTTTTGTCAGCCGATTGCTTCATGCCGCTACTTTTTGGTAAAAGAGGAGGGTAGGGAACAAACAATTTTTCTGTGTACAAAAAATAACATAAAATCTGAAAACAAATGTAAAATTGTTTTGTCGACTGTACAACCAGGCAGATGCAAAATTTAAATAATCACTATCGTATTATTAAAGATTTATGATAGTCTCGTGTTTAAACTATGGTTTTAGAAGTCTTCTTCACGAAACAAAGACTTTTAGATAAACTACTAAGCCGGCAGTTCAGAACAAAAACTATGACAGATGCTGGGGTATGTATAGCTGGCACAGTAAATATGTCATTCAGTAGTATTTTCATTTACAACAATTACTGTTTTCAAGCAAAAACGAAATAAAGTTATATACATATCTGAATTACCTAAACTTTAAACCACGTTGACAAAGTGCGCACATAAATAATGACAGCGTTTTGTTAGTTACATTAAACAAAATTAGTCTCAGTCTTGCATTGTCGAAAACAACGTTGGCGGTTTACATAATTTAAAATTTTGTACAACCGACTTCAATATAAATTATTAAGAATAACTGAAAGACTATCAGAGTCAGACCTTGATCAAATTTATATGGGAGCACATGAGAAGCAAATATTTAAATAAAAAAAAAGAATTGTCGAAATCGATTCACCCAGTAAAAAGTTATGAGGTAGCACACATAGAAAAACATACAGTCGAATAGATTACCGTCTCCTTTTTGAAGTCGGTAGATAACAAAGAATTAGTCTTCAAACCCGCTCGCATTCGACTATAGGAGTTAATGAGATTCTACCGTAACTTAGTAGTGCGCAATGTATTAATAAATACCGTAGTGCCCGTCTAGTAGTATACATAGAAGTCTTTGTCACGAAAGAAACTTAGCTGCGACGCCACAGACTTCTCAAAATTTGACATTTTCTATCAAATTCTATACTTTTTTTATACATTTTAGTTCCCATATTTCCGCGGAACTTTAGTGAAACAGATTTTAGTTTATGCATGAGATTATATTATATAAACTACTTTTTTGTAATAAGACGATCAAACCTTTAGATTACAATAAGTTACGATATTTATTTAAAACATTCATTCATTGCCTCGTAAGAGGTATATATTTAGGGTTACATATTTGCTATAATTAATATGTATTTAAATAGTATTATAAAACAATCAGCATATTAATGTTACTAATAAAATTATGGACAATCTGCCTGATTATACTACTTATTGTTAACAAAAAAATTATCAAAAACTTCATTTATAAATAATATTTATTTGGATTTACAAAATATAAGTTGCTAGAAACTCTACTTCAATCTTGTTGAAAACTTTAGTTAGTTGTATGTGAATTTTTTTATAGATTTCATGAGCAAACGATTGACCGAAAATTAAATAAAAACAATGTGAACCATTGAAATAAAAATAATAAAGAAAGTTATATTTTTTTTTATTGTAATAAAGCACATCATAGGAGAGATGTATCATAGAGAAATGTATTTAAATTTTAAATGCTTTCAGTTTTTGCTTAGAAAAGTCTGGGAATAATTACTGGTACCCCTGAGCTGTGTATAAATAAGTTATTTTTTATGGTTGAGACCATTATTATAGTAATATTTTATTAAAAATTTGTTTCAATTATTTGTAATATAAGATAAAAGTAGAAGTATAGGATAGGTTTATTTTACTAGATAAGTATTTGGTTAAATGAGACGTTATTAAAAAAAATTTCAAACCACCAATAATAACTTATTATTGGTGGTTTGAAAAAATGCAATAAAGAAATTAATTTCTGTCATTTACTGTTATTTGAGATATCGTATAATAAATGATAAAAAATTCAAATTATTAAGCGAAAGACTATATAAGAAACATTTGTATGATTGGTTAAAAATTGAATGCATTTACGACTTAAAAGATTTTTTTCTAGATTTAAATAATTATTAATATTGTATAAACATTTTAAAATTATAATTTGCATGCTATTATTAGCGAAACACGACTGCACTATATAAATTGTAACATCTTTTTATACCGTGATTCTTGCAAATAAAGATTTATGATTTATGATTTAAAAATACACATTAAACCGATTTTTTTTAATAATGACTATTATTTATATATTCAAAATTTTACGATTGAAATTTGTTAAAGTTATAAATCGTTAATTTAGAAGTTATTTCTTTATCAACTGACACGTTGACAAGTTTAATAAAATGAAAGTTAAAAAAATTTATTCAAGTTATTAAGCCGGTTATGATGAGTTTTTCAATACAATAATAAAAATATGCAATAAAATTAATTTTAACAGTTTTATCGCAATTAATTTAAATGATATTACATATGTTCATTCCCGATATTTTGAATTTAAATTTAAGTAACATCAATTAAATCAAATGCAATTAAAACCGTCAAATTTGTTTTAATAATAACAATAATAATTCTTTTATTGTCAAAAATAAATCACAAGAAATTTTATGAAGTCTCTGACTCCTAAACTAGACGAGTCTGTATCTTAGGAATCAGCGGCCTCTCCTACAGTTGTACTAAAAGAACGGGAATGTTTATTATTGAATATGAATATGAATATTTATATATATATTTATTCAATGTTGAATGTTTGTTTAAATATATAAGAATAAAAATATAATTTTCGTTCTTTTATATATATTAACATTATATATATTGTCTGTAACAAGTATGTAAGGTGTACTATAATAATAAAACGATATTAAAATTATGCAGTGAAAAGACAGATTTATCTATAAAAATAAATAAAATTGAAGTCTGTTTGTAATGTCAAAATTACAGCTTTTTACTAAGTGTATATGAAAGCAAAAATTAAAATACAATTTTTTTTAATTTTTGTCTGTCTGTTTGTTACGGGTAATCTCCGAAACGGCTGGACCGATTTTGACGGGACTTTCACTGGCAGATATCTGATGTCCTAAGGAGTAATTTAGGCTACTTTTATTTTAGAAAAAGAATTAGGGTTCCGCGCAAAAAAATAAAAACCCTAACACGCGAGCGAAGTCGCGGGGAACAGCTAGTCGTAAGATAAAATCGTACCAAAAAAATTCACATACAAGGTGTAAGACAAGGGATAAATAAAATGTAGGTATCGAGGCAGGGAGGCGTTACCTTGTGCGGGGGGGTAGGGCGGGGCGGCGCGGGGCGCGGCGGAGGCGTCTTGTGGCGGCGCGCACCCGAGCCCGCGCCCGCCGAGCCGGAGCCCGCGCCCGGCGCGCCCGCCGGCGCCGAGCCGCGCACCGGCGCGTGCAGCACCGCGAACGGGTCCGACTCCCACGCGTTCTGACCCACACCACAACACTACGTATATACGAGTACGCAACAAATATAAGTGCTAGACCCGTACTTCAGCTATATTATTGTCCTTGTAGCACAAATGGCTCGGCTCGACCGGGGTAGGATCACGCTCTCACAGAATACCAGCGTAAAATAGCAGCTTAACACTGTTGTTTCGTATGTTTAATGTAGAAAACGGTAGATCCTTTTTACTGGAAAAGAGGTACCGTGAAACCTGGTAATTTTGCCATTATTGGAAGGACTTAAAAGTTTACCACCAATTTTCAACAATAGATGTACTGTGAGCCTAAGCGTCAATATTAAATGTGATGTTATATTCTTCATAGAATTGGTATTTATTAATAATTTAAACAAATACTAACATTAAATAGACAAAACACTCAAAAATAGAAAATGGCAAAGTTAACCTCACTTTGTGGCAACTTTGCCATCAGGGTTTATAATGAAAATACTCGTAATAGGATTTGACTTCAAGGTTGAAGGTAAGTTTACCTCATAATATAATACACGACACGCAGAGTTATCATTTGCGTCTTTAATTGATTTGCAAATAGCAATTTTACGCTTGTGGCAAAGTTGCCCTGACATTTTTAAATTTTTCATACAAACTTGAAAATATGTGTCAAGATTGTCAAAAATGTTTTTATTTAAATCTTGAAACAATCATTACTTAAAAAAATCTAAAATATATAAACCAAAAATATTCTCATCTAAAATTTAAAAATAAATTTGGTGCAATAATAAGCTTAAATCAATTATAGTATAGAATAAAAAAAAAGCTTGTTACAATCATTTTTAACAAGTATTCGTTTTTTATTAGTCATCACCACCATTTTATTACGAGTCGTAATAAAATGGTGTCAGGTCATAATTATTGTAATCAATCTAAATATTGTTTTCCGATAATAGCAAAACATTAATAATCATTAAAAATGACAATTAATGATTTGCTTAATATCAATACATATACTAAGTTGATATTATGAAAAATACTGAGTAGTGATAATATTATTAATACCTGACAACTCAGTAAAAATAATATAGATTTCACTATTCTTTTCCTTCACCTTTAATAAAGATGAATAGGCTGTTAGAGTGAAACATCGATACAAATATACATACAAACATAGAATGTTAAATGCAGAACACTTTGTTTAAATAACTCTAATCGGTTAAAAATATACCGGACGACAGTGACAGAACCACAGTCGGTCTGTCGCATCCGAAGCTGGAAGCTTCAGGAAGCGGATACTATGGACAAATATCATGCGAGGGTAGCGGAAAAGCTTGACACCATCGATGGCAGAAAAGAATGTGTGGAAAGAACATGGCAGAACCTTAGGAATGGAATGGTAAGTGCAGCGGAAGAAGTGTGTGGAACGATAAAAAGAGGTAGTAGTAAAAGAAGAGATGCATGGTGGAATGATGAAGTGAAGGAAGCTGAAAAGAAGAAGAAGAAAGAATGGTTAGACTACTTGGCCTCTAGTAATGATAAGGATATGAGAGAGAAGATGAAAGAAAGATATAAGCTGCAGAAAGTTCATACGAAAACATTGATTGAGGAAGTGCGTGAAAGGTGTAGAATGGAAGCGGAGGAAAGGTTGTCGCACAACTTTAAGGAGAACTCCAAACTCTTCTGGAAAGAGGTTGGAAGGACCCGAAGTGGTACGACGGCCTTAAGAATGAACAAAGTGCTTTCGAGAACCAATGACGTCCTCTCAAAAAAATCGGAAGTCATGCAGCGATGGAGCTAATTTTATAGAGAAATGTATGCGTGTGATGATCTTAGTGAGGGATCCGGGGATGACGCCGTGACTGGTACGCCAGACCCGGACCTCGATGACACTGACACTGAGGTCATCAGTATGAAAGAGATTTAACGTGCGATTCGAAGTTTGAAATGTGGTAAGGCTGCGGGACTAGACAGAGTTACTGCTGAAATTGTCAAGTATGGTGGGCCTCGCGTCAGGGACAGCTTTCATTTGCTGTGCAATTTGTGCTGGCGGACGTGGGATGTCCCGAATGATTGGCGATCCGCAGTCATTGTGCCTTTATATAAAGGTAAAGGTTCACATTTTGACTGCGGGTGCTATCGGGCGATCAGCTTGACCAGGTTAGCAAGTAAAGTTTACTCGAAGTTTTTGACACGTAGGATGCAAGAGAAATCGGAAAGATTTCTATGGCAGGCACAATGCGGATTTAGAACTGGAAGAGAATGCACGGATCAAATGTTTTCTCTCCGCATGATCACGGAGAAGCTTCTGGCTGCTAACCAGAAGATTTTCTGTGCTTTTGTGGATCTTGAGAAAGCATTTGATAAGGTTGTAAGGAAGAAAATGTGGGAACTGTTGCCGGGGTATGGTGTGGATGGTAGATTGCTAAGGGCTGTGCAGTCACTTTACTGTGACTGTAAAGCCTGTGTGCGGGTAGGGCATGACCTGTCACCCATGTTTAGCGTCCAAACGGGCGTAAAACAGGGTTGTGTCATGTCTTCCTGGCTGTTCATATTGTATCTCGACAACTATTTACAGAAGCTGAAAGATAGCTGTTTGGGTGTGAAATTGGGTGACATTAAAGTAAATTGTCTGCTGTATGCTGATGATGCAGTGCTTATTGCACCTTCGGAGGCAGAACTGCAGGCATTAGTCACGTGTATGAAAGAGGAATGTGAAATTAAAGGTCTCCGTTTGAATGCTAATAAAACTAAGGTTCTGGTATTTGAAAGGGACGAAGAGAGAACGAAGTGTGAAATATGGGTAAATCAGGAATGTCTAGAACAGGTAAATGAAATTGTATAATTGGGAAGTGCATGTCCTTGTTTGTTCCCGGCATGTCGCTGCCGGGAACAAAGTCAATGGTGCCCTGACTGCGTTAGTCAAAAGGCAAGGCGTAGTGAAGGGTGTAAGCCTTGCAATACATAACGCAGTGTTGGTACCGACTTTGTTATATGGCAGCGAAACCTGGGTATGCCAGAAGAAGCATAAAAGTAAGTTGGATGCAGTGGAGATGCGATCTCTTCGTAAAATGTGCGGCGTTACCATTGACGACCGAAAGCGAAACAGAGAGATTCGCAATATGGCAGGTTTGAAAGATGACCTTATCACAAAAATTGATAAGGGCGTGCTTCGATGGTTTGGGCACGTTGAGCGAATGAGTGAAGACCAAATGGCGAATAAAATATATAGCGCGAAAGTAAATATTAAAAGGTGTCGAGGTAGACCGAGACTGACTTTCGAAGACCATGTGAGCAAATTGCTCGAAGAGGGGAGGGTCAAGAGTACTAGGATACCTAGACGTGCATGTATGAAGAAGATAATGAATCTGAAAGAAGCGAAAGAGGTAAGTAAGGATCGTGACACTTGGCGATCTGTTCTCTCTGGCTACCCCGTCAGGGATTGTGCGTGAAGATAAGTAAGTAAGTTAAAAATATAGGTTGAAAGTGACAACCCTTGGTTGTAACAAAACATGGCAAAGTAACCGTCACATCATTGCATCACTACTAACTTTGTCAAGTTAGTTTTATAGATAAATGTTAAGACCAAAATGTTAAAAACGATATATTACATTTGATAACAATTAATATTTAGTTACTACAAAGATATAAACACCTACATTCAGTTTTTCAAACAAAAAAAACTAAAGTTCCGGATCACTGAATAAAGAGGTTATTTTGGCGGCACAATTCAGAGTTAAAATTAAATGTCAAAATTAACTCTCATGTTGCCATATCAAAAGCAATGCTGTCAATTAGTTATTTTATTTTCATCCAAAACATTGCTTATCTCGAAAAACGTTACGTTTTCCGTGTTAATCGTAATTTTGTACCAGTACACCCCTGATGGCAAAGTTAACATCCATTGGTAAAGTTGCCAGACCTAACTGTATTCCATCTTAGTCCTCACAGGTGACAACGCATCTGCATTTTAATTCTTTATTGAGGATAGATGTAGATGTCTGTGGGTCACAACTACCACTTAGCATCAGGTGGACCGTGTGCTCGTTTATCACCTATCCTATAAAAAAAAACAAAGGACTAAGATGGAGTGCCTCGTTCCCAGTTAAAAGGGTCTGTCCGTTATATTAAAATAAGTGCCTTCATCTAGCTTAGGTGGTTATTCGCAGGCATGAAAATAAACGTAACAACAAAACAAATTACTTACGTCGGTAGTGGCGGGCGCTTCTGTAGCGTTGGGAGTGAACGCATCGCCGGCGAAGGGATCCGCGTCAGTAAACGCAGAACCGAAACCGTCCTACAAATTTTAAAAAGTTTTTATATTATAGCTAAAATATCCCATTAATAGGCACTATTAGAATAAAATAGTTTTTATTCAATATATATATATACATATTACAATACATAATACTTATTGAAAGTCATTTTTTACTTTTATCACTAGCCAAAGTTAATATATTTATTTCTTAAAATTTTTATGTAAGGGATTCCTTCGGACCTAGGTTATAAATTGCTCTTATGGCTCTCTTTTGCAAAACAAAGATAGTTTCAATATTAGTCGCATTATCCCAGAGGAAGATTCCATATGACATTATGATATGGAAATAACTAAAATAAACGAATCTAGCGGTTTCAACACATGTAAGGCCTATAATATTTTTACATCATATGCTGCAGAACTAAATTAGCTAGTTTAGATATATGAGGACGCCATTGATGCTTCGTGTCAACTGTAATTTCGAGAAAAACAGTGGATTCAACAAGACGCAGCTCCTCCCCATTTAAAAGCACACTGGTATTCACCTGTTTAACATTAGGTGTAGTGAATTTAATACATTTATTATTTTTTGTACATTTCTTGATATTTAATATTAATATTAACATTCACATTCTGTTCCAATATATTATTATGTGTAAAACTTAAGCATCGGGCTCTCTAGAAAAGGACTAGGGCCGCAATCGGTCTGCTTGATTTGTACGGCATTGTCACTGTCATTCAAATCTCTTTTGTCGTTGACGTGTCAATCGTTGTAGTTTCTTAGGGTTAAGTCACATTCATCTCAAAGTATACAGTATAAAGCTGCTATTATGTAATGTAAAAATAAAGAACTATGGCAGACTTTCATACATAAAATTAGTTGAGAAGAAATGGTAGCGTCTATATACCAAAAATATCTTAAAATGTTAAGCCTCAGTCCCTTAAAAACTCTGTCAAAGAATTTTGTACTGAGAAAGCGCCAAAAAAAAGATATTTACATTTGAACTTTTTAGGTTATGTCCTATGTCACTTGGAAAAAGTCATGCTTCCTGTGGTTGTTTGATGTTAGCTTAATACATAATACGTAATTGAGAGTTTTTAGATTATTGTATCTCTATTATATATTTGCATACTATAAATGTATATTTCTGGCATGGCTCCAGGTCTTTTGTATCATAGTGACATTCTCAGAAGGGCTAGAACCCAGAGCCGTAAAGCCAGTAAAAAAATCAGTGACATTTTATTTTAGCTAGTGTTGGCATAACATTAAATGGAATTGTTACATAGTACTATGATTGAGATAATGTATTATTGCAGGAAATTCTTTGTAAGAGACTTATTCTCAGCCATATCACTTTTATTTTTATTATTACTGATAGTACAGTTATTACTAATAATATCTTAATAGAAAAATATTTTGTGTGTTGTGTTGGTAGTCTTACAAAGTGTATACGAAAATAGTATAAATATACTAAATGGCAACATTTGAATAGAGTAAAATGATTTAAGTCATTTGATATTCCCAAAAATGTTCTTTTTTCTGTGGCTTCAATTAAAATACATTTTTATTTGAAAAATCATAGAAAAATAATAAAACTCATTTTATATATAACTTATTTCTAGACGCTATAATTTTTGTCAACTATTTTTCTGCCATTGCTCTTTTATATTTTATAAAGATAGTCAAAGTTACAGTCTATATATGTGTCCTACCCCTGACCCCAAGCCTTCTCTCATTTCTGAGAGGGTTTTAAGGCAAGGTAGATTCAACCAATGCCCCAATACGTGTTGGTTAATTTCACAGGTCTTCGAGTTTTTTTTTTAATTTCTCGGACATGCAGGTTTCCTCACGATGTCTTCACCGTCGAGCACGTGGTAAATCAAAAATTGCAGCGGTAGAGATCGAACCCGGATTACTCGCGTACTGTGAAATTTACAGTGAGCGCTTAGCCCCTGTGCTACCACGGCTTTATAAAGTATGTCATTTCGTATATTTATGTTATGTGCTTAAACATATAAAAATATGTTTTAGTAAATTACAAATCATATGATTGTATAACACTGCTTTTTATTTATTTATTAAGATTAATAACGATTGATACATTATTATATCTTTAAAGAGAATTGACGGCAGCCTTATTTCTAAATGTACAATCACTTAAAGGTAATCACAGCATGCTATTAATTTACAATTTAGTGCTATTTACACAACCTAAAGAATCCTTAATTTAATTGAAATGTGGAAATAATTTTGTCAATTTATTTTGTTTTTATGCCTAATGTATATTGGATTGTCAGTCTTGAGGCAATGCTCTACAAAAACTATTATTCCACCGTCTTTTCATAAAGTTGGACGTGTTATATCACGACTCGTTAAAACCCATATGAGGTGCATATTATATAAAATATCAAATATAATAACATTTTGCATATAACGTTAAAGAAATATAATATACATTTTTGAATTGGTCCTTTAAGGGCTTATTAAAGATTTTACAGTTTTTTCCGTCGAAATTGTTTTGTAGACACCTCTTGTATGTTATTTTTACTGTAATATATACTGTAATTTATTATATATATTACCATAGTTTATATATTACTATAATTTATTTTATAGAGTTTGATATCACCCTCTTTTTTTCTGTCTTGGAGCAAAAATAAAACCGTTTCGTTTGGCTCGCTATATTGTTTTTTTATTTATGTTATTTATATTCTTAGTGTAAAGTAATTGTATTGTATAGTTACAAATTGTGAGGCATTTTATCGTAGTAAATTTTTAATAATTTTCCGTTTAAATTCTAAAATACTGTGTGTAGCTCACGTTATGGCAAGTTGTAAGGTTATATGACGTATCAGTATAAACGCGTCAAGAAATGTCACCTGAGTATTGACTGCACCCCCGCTGGGAGCGAAAGGATCGCTGGGCGCGAACGGATCTGAAGACTGAGCTTTTGTCGTCGTCTCTGGGAACGGTTCGTCCTCCTGTAACCGGATGTGATCTTAAATTAAAATGTAATCGTATTTCTTATAACAAAAAATAAGACATTTTAGCTAATTTTTATGTGGTAACATTGCAAATTATTTTTGAAATCAAATCAAATCAAAAACATTTATTTCTAATTCTTCATCCATAGGTGTTAGAAAACAATTAAAACTTATCCTATTATTAGCACAGAATAAATAATAGTACTACGTACAGAATTTGCACTCTTTTAATGTTGACTGCTTGCCGACGTTTTAATAGCATACATAGTTATTATTAAACAGATAAATCGCGCACGCAAGCTAAATAAAACTTTATCGCTGCGCGCGAGTGTCCGTATTACTTTGCATCTTTTCTCCTTACTACATCACAACGGACTTTCCGTGGTTGCTAACGGCTGTTAATAAAAAGTAAAAACATACGTTGTGAAATGGTAAGTTACTTAGGTAAAGTACCTATGCCGACTATAATCGACCATATTATCTACTATGTGAGTTCTGTGATGCCCAACGCATGCAACTTGCAAGGCCATTCGTCGGGAATCGCGATGCTTGGTTCGTATAGGTAGATAGCGTAAACAACAAATAAACCCGAAATACGATTCCTAACAATCTACTAGTACTAGTAATCTACTTAGTTAAAAATCTTGTAAATATAGTTTTAAGTTCAGTATTTTGTGCTGTTATAACTTAAAATATTTTAATCACAAAGACGAGTATACGTATGTAAGTAGGTACTTGGGTAGTGAAGTAAATTTCAACTAAGTTTTGTAATAAAGTACTTTGCTATTACCTCTGAAGTTAAATTATTACTTAATTATTTTTTCGCTATAAGTACCTATCTAACAAAAAAATGAAATAAATTTACCTTTCATTATCCTTCGGTAACTCAAAAAATTATATATCTGAATCCTTTTAATTGCTCATTAAGCATCCATCCCCGCAACAATTATAGTAGGAACGACGTTTTGCCATTATAATTTATCAAATATATAGGTAATATACATATATATTATTCTTAAATTACATTAAAACTTTTTCAACTATTTTATCCTACAATGAAATATACTAAACACTAAACAAAAACTATTTCGACGAGTATTTCCACAAGTATTTACAAAAAATTATTTACGTAAACGCTACGTAAAGCGCTAAAAAAACTTTAACATTCAATCGTATAGAGCGCGCTAGCCCCGACTCCGATCTACCCCTGGGGTTGCTCGCGATTGTAGGCAATTATTTCACGCAGGTAGCAAGAGTGACAGAGGCCTGGTGTTAGTAATATTAATAACATATTATATTGATATAATTTATTTTCATTAAATCTTGCACTTGGCTGAGCCCGACTTATGCAGACAAATCCAGTGTCGTAGCAGTGGAGACTCCCACCTATTTGCCAATACACCCAGAATGCTGTTCGAAGCTTAACAGCGAGGCGCTTTTCTTGCGGATGATAGTATAGGAGCAATCAGTTTGTGCCTCGGCAAACATAGCCGATGCACTGCAAAAACGCGGCAACCCAAACGACACCCTAAACGCATTGTTGTATTGAACACGCATAGAACTGTACGCTCGCTGCATGTTGTTAACGCAATTGTTAACGCAGTTAACGCGCATAGACCGCACGTGTAGAACAACTGACAATACGCCTTAAAAAGCGTCAGTTAACTTGCTTACTACAGCGTGCAAATCTGCGAGCCAACATATTGCCGCGCATACACAGTGCCCTTCGTTCCTTTTCTATATCAATATCATCATTTAACGTATAACGCATAATTTTTATTTATTATTTATATTTTACTTTTGCTGTATAAACTTACGAGCGAGAATAATAAGATAGGAAAAAGAAGACGAAATCACACAAAATTGACAGATTGACAGATTTGACTAAATGAAATCTCAGAAATTGACAGATGGATTGAATGAGATTTCATTCAGTCAATCTGTCAATGTGTCTGTAAGGGTCAGTTCACACAGAGACGCGTCGAAAGAGGTCAGTCGTTGCGCACCGCCGCGAGACGTATCGCGACGTTGCGATTCGCAGCGTGAAAATAGTAGCGAGGGAAGGAGCCGCACGTCATGCTCTTCTTCATGCCAGTCGCTGCCCCATTTGTCCGAATCGAACGCTTGTTACAGAATCGTCGTTCTATTGTGATGAATAGATGTCATCCACATTCTCTTTTGGCGAGGACGACGACGTATATATTTTTTATGACATTGATGATATAATTAGCTATACTATACTAAATATGCATATACCGCGCACGCAGTCACAGTTACAAGATTAATTGTGTTGCAAACGCAAAAAAAAAAAACTCAAGTGTGAAGCGTCGCGATTAATTATTGCGCGAGTAGAGCAGCGGGTGGACAGAGAGGGCAACATCGCGGTAGCGCGAGGCGTAGAGCGGTGAGCAGCGAGAGGAGCATAATGTGGCGGATCCATTAGAGACAAGTCACCACAACGGCTGAAGGCTGCGCCTCGCTTTTGCACGCCGCGCCTACCGACGAAGCACCGCTGCGTTGTGATGCGTCACGCTACGCTGCGAGCCATCTAGAAGCGCATTGCGGCGTAGCGCGATGCCGCGGGACATTTTCGAACTATCTCACTAATATATGTATCTCTTCGTTTAGTAAATAAAGTTATATTTTGTATCACTATCTCAAAAAGTGTGCGCCACGTCCCGTCGCGTCACGTCTCGGTGTGAACTGGCCCTAATTATTTCGTTGACAACATTTTAAACTTCTTTGGCGACAATCTGAGCGAGGCGCTACGCGCTATACGCTGCAGGTGCTGGTGCTCGTGCAGCGTCTGCAGCGCTGCGTGTACTCACGAGCGAGTCGCCGCGCGCTAGACGTTGCAGGTGCTGCGGCTCGTGCAGCGGCTGCAGCGCAGCGGGCGCGGTCCCAGCCGCCATCGCCGCAAGCGCCGCCTCCATCGCCCGCTCGTGTTCTTCCAGGTGGTCGATTTTTATCTTCGCCTGCAAATAATTCATCACATTTTTTTATATAGGATAAGGGTTACAAACGAGCACATAGTCCACCTGATAGTAAGTGGACAATGGCCCATAGACGTCTAAATTAACGAGTATACTCGGTTAAGAATCAAAATGCAGATAGGTTGCCACCTCTAAGGACTAAGATGCAATGCTTTGTTTCCAGTAAAACACTGACCATACGTAACACAGCAGCATGAAACTGGTATTTTGCGCTAGTTTTCCGTGACAGCGTGGTACTTCTCCGGTAGAGCCGACTCCTTCGTGCTGCAACCATATTACATTTGTAGCGTGGCTCTACCACGTAACATTTATTACAGCCCATCAAAACTCCACAACTAAACATAAACCTCGCACGTTTTCTTCTGTCAAATGTCCATGAACTGCATGGACACATACCTACAGTCAACTTCAAACAAAAAATGCGTTCTCACTTCTGAGAACTAAGATGGTTTGCCTCACAGTTTGAAAATACACTGGCTGACCTTCAAACTGGAACACAACAGTGCAAGCATTGCTATTTTGCGGCGGAAATAATAGGTCGGGGAAAGTTTCTTCGTATTTTGTTTGTATAAAATTGAAGAAAAATCTCTTTACAACCTATTGTTTGTATCTGGCTGGTTTTAATATCATATAGGACATTAAAAAAGAAAAATAAAAAGTAAAAAAACACTTTCCCGCCATTTTCCAATTGTTTTTCCGCCGAAATGAGTAAATCTACTAAAGAAATTCGATATATTCTAAAGTTTTATTACAAAAATAGGAAAAATATGACTCAACCAGCGAAAAGAATTGTGACTTTTATAGACCTAATGCAGTGTCAGTAAGAGTAGCGCAAAGTTGTTTCAAGTGTTTTCATTCCGGGAATTTTGATGTCAAAGATGCAGCTCGCTCTGTTCGCCCTCATACGGATAAAGTCGATGCCATTTTTGATAAAGTGGAGCAAGATCGACATATTAATATTTACGACATAACCGAGGCATTGAGAGTTGACCACAAAATTTGTTTTGACCCATTTGAAAAAGTCTGACTATACAAAAAAGCTCGATATTTGGGTACGGTACCACATGAGCTCACTAAAAGAAACCTAATGAATCGTGTACTCATTTACAATTCTCTATTCGAACTGACTGAAAATATTGATAATGTCCACTTACCGTCGAGTAGAACGTAATGTGGTTGTTTCGTTACGACTCATCAAAGTTCACTGCTGAACATAGGCTTCCTCTATAGGCTGCCTCATAGGCGTTATTTACAATAGTGGCTACACTTGGCAGGCGGGCCTCAGTATTTTTTATTTTCTAATCATGAAGAAGACGCTGCTGTGCCCATCTCGTGGATAGTTCCCTCTGGCGCTTCTTACGACACCCACGGGACGATATGGAGTAGTGGATATACTTACACCGCCACTACACGGTTGCTTACTAGATATAATTCTGTATCATCGGTCTGGTGATCGAAAACGCGGTTACTGATCATGGAATCTCGGGTGCTAAAATCAGTTATTGGGTTTTTTTTGTCAAGGAATGCTCAGGAGCAGCCCGGAGTCAGGAAGTTGGAGGTGTTTCATCCCTATGCCTCAGAATGCACGGAAAACCGTTAGCCCGTGATCTCTCTCCAGTCGTGTCGGATTACCGTACCATTGAACTATGAGAGTAAAGGAATAGAGAGTGGACCTGTACTCGTGCACTATAATAACCCTGTCCTGCGCAGGTGACTAGTCTCCGTTGAGACTGACTTCCGTGATCGAAATTCGGTTGGAGGACCTTATTATTATTATTATTTACTAGTTTTTTTTATATATTTATTCATACAAAGATACATACATTATTTTTACTATTCTCTCGCTAAACTGCAATCAGTTTGTCGGCGAGTACACGCTCTTAAAAACTATATATTATTACTACTACTAACCTAACCTATAAAAATACAATTAATTACTAAAAAAGTTACCAACTACAATTACATAATATTTAGAGATAATAATTAAAAACATTTAAAAAAATAATAATAATAAACAATAGCAGCAATAAATAAATCAAATAAATAAAAAAGCACCTGGCTAAGCTGCAGCACAGTGCGTCGCAGCTGTGCAGTTAGTGCTTCGGCCTCACTCTCCGCCTCACGAAGTTCTGCATTGAGCGCTCTCTCTCGCTCTTTCAAGGTCTGTTCAGCTGCTTTTCGACTCGCAACCTCAGCTTCCGTTTCCGCAGCAGCCGCCTCCTGTGCGGACACCTGCGACTGCAGCTTGTCCACCTACAACAGAAATAGTGACCATCACCAAATCGCCAGGCATCGCCTATAATCTACGTTGTAGAGCCACATTGCAGCTATGTTTTGGTTGTAGCACGTATGGGTCGGTTCCACTGAGGAAATACCACGCTCTCACAGAATACCAGTGTAAAATAGCAGCTTAAGGCTGCTGTTTTTCACATATAAATAAAATTGAAGTGTGCGTCTGTAATATTGAAATAACTAAGCTTCTATTATGCTGGGGGTTATTAGCAATTTTAGTCTGTATGTCTCTAATCCGGGCTAATCTGCGAATTTTTTTTATAGGATAAAGGTGACAAACGAGCACACAGTCCACCTGATGATAAGTGAATTGCTGTGACCCATAGACATCTATATCTATTCTTAATAAAGAATCAAAATACAAATGCGTTGTCACCTGTGAGGACTAAGATGGAAGTCACTTCCAGTAAAAATAGTCTCCGGTTCTCTACGCTCACCATACGAAACACAGCAGTGTTAAGCTGCTATTTTACAATGGTATTCTGTGAGAGCGTGGTCCTTCCCCGGTCGAGCCGACCCATTCGTGCTACAACTATACTACTAATATAGCTGCAGCATGGCTCTACCATGTAAAAATTTCTTCGAAGTTGCTGAACCGATTGTGATCATACCTTACAAAAAGATAGAGGTGCAATACCAGGAGGGATCTAGGTTATGTTTTATCCGAAAACTTGAAGATATTTAAAAAAAACGGAAAATTAATAAATATAAATGGTATTTGATTACATAATTATCTTAAATCTAAATAACGCCACATTAATAGATCCTGTCCGTCGCTATTTAATAATAAAAAAGTAATAAAAAAAGTTTTGATAAGTAATAATACAGGGTGGCCCATAAGTCCCTTGAAATGTAAAAAAATAATTTAAAAAAAACTAATGACATTATGAAAAAGGTTTTTATTTTGTCATAATCCTTATAAAATGGGAATTATTTTTTGAAAATTACATCATCTAAATGTAATCCGTTACGATCGCGGCACTCCTGTAAGCGACGTTTAAAATTATCCATCACTGCGTGGCAAGTAAGCTCTGTAATGTTTGCCATTTCTCTTTGGATATTTTCTTTCAGGACGTCAATTGTCCGCGGGTTGGTTTCGTACACTTTAGTCTTAAGATAACCCCATAAGAAAAAGTCCATTGGGGTCAGATCTGGACTACGTGGTGGCCAAGGAATATCTCCTCTTCGAGAGATCACTTTATTAGGGAAAAGTTGACGGACGACCGGCATAGCGACGTTAGAGGTATGGGCAGTTGCTCCATCTTGTTGAAACCAGGTCCGCGTATTGAAGCCTGGAAAATTCTGCAACTCTGGTGTAAAAAAGTCCTGGATCATAGCTATATACCGTTGTGAAGTAACAGTAAGCGCGCGGCCTCTGCCGTCCTCAAAAAAGTAAGGGCCTATAATGCCATGCGCTGACATAGCCGCCCAAACTGTCACTTTAGGGCTATGTAAGGGCTTTTGATGTTTGCGATTTGGATTTTCGCAACTCCAGTAGCGACAATTTTGCTTATTGACATGGCCGTTGATGTGAAAGTGAGCCTCATCAGAGAATAACACGTTATTAAACGAAGTAAAGCGGTTCAACATTTCATTTGCGAAATTTAGTCTGTGGATAGTGTCAGTATCTTTTAATTCCTGTACTAACTGAATCTTGTACGGGTGAAGATGTAAATCTTTCTTTAAAATTCGCTGTAACGATGTTCTGGGTAAGTTTAATGCACTGGAACGCTTACGAGTAGACTGGGTAGGATTTTCACGAATTGAGTGTTTCACTACATCGATGTTTTCTTCCGTCCGTGATGTCCTTGGTCGACCTGACCGTTGTTTATCCAACGTCGAACCACTCTCTTCGAACTTAATAACCCAGTTCTTAATCGTTTGAACACTTGGAATGTCTTTAAAGTTGCGTAAATTCTGATATTCTCGAAATTTACACCGCGCAATGGTAGCCGAATCATTGTTTCGATAAAACTCGCGCACACAAAATGCACGGTCCGCACCGGTGAAACGCTCCATGGCGACTGAATTCCCAGAAACCGTCGGTACTCCCCCCGCACCGCGCGCGCCACTCATGCGCGCCTTTTGTATTTTATTCGAAATTTACATTTCTAACGACTTATGGGCCACCTTGTATATAGTTGCCGGCGTCTAACTTGGCAAGATTCGTTAGATGCGCAGAAGTAATTTTTTAGATCTCTTTGGTTATAAAGCGGGGCGCGAGGAACGAGGTAGCATTGTTCCGAGTGCTCGATTGGTTGACCAGTTGACTTCCGCGCGAGCGATTGGTTGACCAGTTGACTTCCAAGTGCGCGATTGGTTGGCCAGTCGACTTCCGAGCGCGCGATTGACCCTTGCCTTCCGCAACGTGTACACCACGTCGCGTTGTACATGCGCAAACTTTCGCCCACTACACTAAAACCTTGCCAAGTTAGTCGCCGTATACTATATTACAATTATATTTAAATTATAATATGCAATTGTTTGTTTGGCCCTCTTGCGCCGCCACCACATTATAAAAAATAATTTACACAGAAAATAAATTCACTCACTTGTGTTTTTAAGTCGTTTAACCGCTTTTGAGCTTCGCCTTTTTGGTTTTCTAACTGTTTCAACGTAGCCGTTAATGTGTCTAATTCACTCTGAAACAGAAAAAAAATTTGTTAAATTATCGACCAACGACCACATAGCAATCTTGTGAGGGACCAAGCTCTTAGTGAATCGCACAATAGTGGACCGCCAAGTATCTAATGTGTGGATGGCACGGTAACACATTTTTTGTGCAATTTTAATTTTGATATTGATTTGTTCTACTCTTCCACAGAGTAATATAAACATTTAAACATTTTTCTCGCTTATTTTATGTTTAATGTGTACAATAAAGAATTATATATCTAATAAGTAATAACATATATTGATTAAGCAAAATATAAAACTAAAAGTTTAACAATGAATGTGTTTAATTTTAAATTCCAAATCACAACATAATTTTAAGAATTACGACCTAATGGTTAGAGAAATAGGGTTTAAATTCGCAGACTAGTGTCACCTGCAAGCTGTCTGCTTCGCCCTCCTTAGCGATCAGTTCCCGCTGCTTGGCGGCCACCTCCGCCTCGAGTGCGAGCCTCTCTCGCGCCAACGCGTCAGCTTCCCTGGCGATCGCCTCCATCTCGGGAGTCGGCTGCGGTCCCAGGTTCAGACCCGGTTCCGTCTTCTGGGGATAAAGTACTGCAAATTTAGCATACTCTAGGAAGTGTATTCGTTAGATTAAATACATAATATCTTTTATTCATTTATTACAGCCTATCAAGTCTACTGCTGAACATAGGTCTCCTCGATAGATTGACAGACGGGTCGGCAAACGTTATTTTTTTCACTTTGAGTTGTCATTAGGATGATGCTGGGCTATGTTTTTTTTCATTGCCCTATGTCGCATAATGATGTCCCAAAACGGAGACATTTCTTATGGCAGATCTAGAATCTAAATTTACTTTTAGACATATTTTATAAAGGCATTGATAATCACATGATTTAATGAGATAATAAATTTATTACACATATGTGTAATAAATACTAATGTACCGTAGTATAGCTTACTTAACAAAAAAGAATCAATAAAATAGTTTCAGAACAAAGACCTTTACATATAAGAAATCTACGGCCCAGAACTAGAGAAGATATCGCTTGACATACATACAAAAAATACAGTCGAGAGAACGTTCTCCTTTTTTTTGAAGTCGGCTAAAAAATGGAAACAGTTCCCCGATCGACTTTTTATAAGTTTCTTATATATTTCTTAAATGTAAAACCAACTGTTCCATATTTAAGTTTTTGATTTATAACTTTCTGCCAAAGAAACGTCATTCGAAATTATATAAAATGAAAATAATATTATTAGGAATCACCTTTTTATTTATATCATTAAAAGAAGCTCATTGTGACCATAAAGAAATCGTCACAGAGATAAATGATATGTACGAAGATGACAAATATTTCCAACCTTCGTCAGGTATTATAGGAATTATTTTATTAAAACATTGATTTTGTACTATATACTGTTGTTCTACCCATAATTGTTTAGTTTGTTAGTTTTCAACCGCTGACGCAAAAATAGGTTTTTGTTATAAGTTTCACCGCTGTCTGTATATCTATCTAGCGGTGCTTCTTAGACATGTTTTATCAAAATCGGTTCAGTCGTTTCAAGGTCATCAGCTGTTTTTTATCGTTTTTTTTTATTTGAATTAGAATTATTTTTATTTGTAAATTTTTCGCTGTGAGAATGTAATAAAGCATTCTTATGTAGTCATATTTAAAAAAAATCTTCATGTTTGGCTATTCAAATACTTTTTAACGTGGTAGAGCCATGCTGCAGCTATATTAATAGTATAGTTGTAGCACGAATGGGTCGGCTCGACCGGGGAAGGACCACGCTCTCACAGAATACCAGCGTAAAATGGCAGCTTAACACTGCTGTGTTTCGTATGGTGAGTGTAGAGAACCGGAGACCCTTTTTACTGGAAAAGAGGCATTCTATCTTAGTCCTCACGGGTGACAACGCATCTGCATTTTTTTGCAGGTGGACTGTGTGCTCGTTTGTCACCCGTATTCTATAAAAAAAATACTGAAAATTATCTCTCAAAGAATTGTTTTTTTTTTTATAAAATACAACAACAAGTACAAGTTGTTCTAAAACAAGAATACATATTTTTCGTAGTGTTTCCAATACGCAGTAATGAGTCCATACGTGTACGTTAATTTTACTTTCTTTAAAAATATTTCTGATGATTAAAACAGGTGCAACGAAACCACATATCTCCGATAAAATAACCAGTGTACTGAACAATCTGGAAGCAGACCACTGCCCAGTACTTATAACATCGGCTTATGTGGGTTCTATGACCCGGATTCCTTGCACTCAAATAGCATCTGATCGAAGTAATGTAAAGTGGATGTACACGGAGGTGAGAATGGAATGGTCTGCTAACCATTTCTCTTTAATTTTAAGCGTTAAAAATGAACGCGTTTTATGATAGTTTCAAAGAATTCAAAATTAGGTGCTTTTGGAAAATCAATGTTCCAGTCCATTACAGCCTATAAAAACCTCCCCCAATGATTTCGTGTTAGAGGGGATTTGCCATAGTTTTTTTTTTTTTTATATAGGAGAGGGAGCAAACGAGCATGCGGCTCACCTGATGGTAAGTGACTACCGCCGCCAAGAACAACTGCAACACCAGGGGAATTGCAGATGCGTTGCCGGCCTTTTAAAAAGGAGTAGGCTCTTTCTTGACACACTTGGGAACCGGTTTAGCGACAGGTTGGTTCAGGTTTATTAGGAAGATGTTGCTGCCAATCTCTTGTTTCAGTTTCCCTCTGTCGCCTCTTACGACACCCACGGGACGATAGGGGGTAGTGGATATTCTTACACCGCCACTACACGGCTAAATCAATTTAGATCTGACTAAATTGAAATACTAAAAGATGTAATATTCCACAACACCACAACAACGTGGAAGAGACACTGCAGCGATAATATGGTTGCAACACGAATACCAGCGTAAAATATCAGCTTAATGGTGCTGTGTTTCGTATATTGAGTGTAGAAAAAGAATTTTAGTCCTCAGGGGTGACAACGTATCTACATTTTGATTTTTAATCGAAGATAGACATCTATGGACCGCAGCATCCGCTTACCATCAGGTAGGATATGTGCTCGTTTGTCATCCTCATCCTATTGATTGTAGTCTTCAGGAGTAGCAACACATCTCTAGCAATTTATTCAAGTTAGCTGCAAGTTTTTGAACTGTAATAGCTATTCACCATCAGGTGAACAAATGATACGACATATGCGTTATCGTCGCGACGTAAGCGAAACGCACCGAAGCCTAAATCAAAGTTCTGAAGTTAACGCGCCATATATAGAACAGCACCGATATAAAACGTGGAACGTTGCCCGCTCCCCAGACTGAACACCTTGCCCGCGGGAGATACTATACCTTTTCCTTTTACGGCCAAATATGTTTCATCAAGTTACGTTATATTATTAGATTTTACTAGTCCAAGCACGTTAGAAGAGTGACCATTGTTCTTTTTAATAAATTCAAATCATTTAGGTCTTTTCGTGTTTACTTTTACTACTGACCCGCACACTTGGCAACCTTATTTCAGTCCATATATAATCTCACATTTAGACCGATGGAAGAAAATGAAATGGCGGTAAATGATGGTGACCTTATCATATTTTACGTGCGACCGGGAGACGCTGGAGTGTATCAATGCCAGATCGGATCCGCTATTAGTGGTTTAGTGATTTTGGAAGTATTGGACGATGAAGATCAGTATATAGTGGTACGTATATTGACAAAGTGATTTTGATGATCTGAACGATCGTCCTCACCTATTTAATAAGAAACTGTCCACATACACGCTTACACTAGAATTTGTTTAAGTATTATACTAAGTTTTACTGATGGTAAGACTGATCTGCCAAGGAAATAAAACCGGCAAAGTGCGAGTCGGACTCGCGCACCGAGGGTTCCGAACAAATCTAGGTACCTATATAAGTTTAAAATTATTAAAAATATTTTCATAATATAATGTAACTAAAAATGTATGCTTTTCGCAATTTTTCCTTTATCTGTGCTATAAAACGTTGCTTCGTACCAAATTTCAAGATTCTGAGTTCACGGGAAGTACCCTGTAGGTTTTGATTCACTTGCGAATGTCGAAAATTTACGGCATAAACCGCTGTATCTTTTGATTGCGTTGGCTTAGAAGTTTGATTATTTCACAGCTCTAAGGGACAGTAGACTTGAGTATTTGATATGAATTTCAGCTTGATACATCCACGCGTTCCTGAGAAAAAGGGTCTTGACAGACCGACAGACTGACAGACAGACGGACAACAAAGTGATCCTATAAGGGTTCCGTTTTTTCCTTTTGAGGTACGGAACCCTAAAAAGTGGGTCATTGCATTCAGTTACCATCGGGTGGACTGTGCGTTCGTTTGCCATCCTTATTCTATAACAAAGTTTCGTTTGAGATACTAGATGATAGCATGCCTAGGAGTACGTCTGGATCTCTTAGACACAATTGCCGCTAAATACCAGTGCCTGCACTGCTGTGTACCGCTCTAAACGGTATAGATTGCCAGTATACTTACAGACTGTATGGCATTCCATCCTAGTCCTCAGAGGTGACAACGCATCTGCCTTCTTTGTTTAAAGTTAGGTGCAGGTGTCTATGGACTGCAGTAGCCACTCACCGTAAGATAGATTTTAAGTTTGTTCGGCACTTTTTTTTTATAGGATCGGGTGACAAACGAGCACACAGTCCATCTGATAGTAGGTGGTTACTGTGACCCATAGACATATACATCTATCCTCAATAAAGACTCAAAATGCAGATGCGTTGTCACCCTTGAGGACTAAGATGGAATGCCTCTTTGCCAGTAAAAAGGGTCTCCGGTTCTCTACACTCACCATACGAAATACAGCAGCGTTAAGCTGCTATTTTACGCTGGTTTTCTGTGAGAGCGTGGTCCTTCCCCGTTCGAGCCGACCCATTCGTGCTACAACCATAATATAGCTGCAGCATGGCTCTACCACGTAGAAAATTAAATTTAATAAATTTAATATAATAATAAAATATTTATTCATTGCCAAAAGTAGCGAAGCGTATAATAAGTTTTTTTTTTATTGGATAGGGTGACAAACGAGCACACGGTCCACCTGATTGTAAGTGGTTGCTGTGACCCATAGACATACACATCTATCTTCAATAAAGAATCAAAATGCAGATGCGTTGTCACCCGTGAGAACTAAGATGTAATGCCTCTTTTCCAGTGAAAAGGGTCTCCGGTTCTCTATACTCACCATACGAAACACAGCAGTGTTAAGCTGCTATTTAACGCTGGTATTCTGCGAGAGCGTGGTCCCTCCCCGGTCGAGCCGACCCATTCGTGCTACAACTATACTACTAATATAGCTGCAGCATGGCTCTACGACGTAATAAAAAGTTTAACTAATACAAAAATAATAATTTAAGAAGGACAGTGAAAGGGCTCTGACTAAGCATGCATTGCAGAGAATCTACAACGCTGTTATTCTGTCAGCACCCGTACTCTTAACGAACTATAGTATAAGTTTTATAAAAAGGTCATTTAACTTTTATCTGTGGCACTAAAAGAAGACAAGATACGATTGCACAAGCAACATC